TACAGCATATTATGCTGATTTTTAAGAATATGTATTTGGTATGCATTGAATAAGCTGACTTATAGCAAGCAGTCTTGGCACTCTCTCTCTCAGCTCATGTGAATGTGGGTATAGTGAACGGCACAGAAGCAAAACCCCACTCCAGACCTTACATGGTTTCTCTTCAGATGAATAAGACACATGTCTGCGGTGGATTGCTCATTTCTGATGAGTTTGTCACATTGCCGAAACAAGTAAGACTGTAGTTTTGCCTGATCTGAATTAAAACTATGATCTCAAATAACTGGTTTCATCAAATGTTTCTTTTAACAGAAATGAATTTGGTGCACATAACCTAAAAAAATATGAATGAAGGAGCTGTCCGCATTGGAGTGAAGTCCTACTACAAGCATCTGGATTTTACTGATTACCCAAGTTATATATATATGACATCATGATTTTAAAGGTAAAAACTAATTAAAAACTGCACACATACCTGTTGTTAAAAAGTATGCCTAATTATTTAAACACACACTCTCGCTGTCTGTTTTGGAATTTCAGAGAAAAAGTCAAAAAGAATAAAAATGTAAATTGGACATCCATGCCAAAGAAAGAAGGAGACATCAGAGAAGATTCTGTTTGCAGTGTTGCAGGCTGGGGAAGTTCAGTTATTAATGGCACTTCAAGCCCAGTCGTCATGTAAACAAATGTGACAATCATGAATAATGCAAAATGTGAAAATAGTTGGGAGTGGCAGTTCAAACCTTCACAGATGATGTGTGTATATGGCAATGAAGGAAACAGTAGTGTATGTAAATATAAATCTTGTAAAATTACATTACAATACAATAATAATTACAATAATAATAAAACATTTTTATAAAAGTATTGAAAGAAAAATAATATAAATATAAATATATAATATTAATTATAATATATAAAATAATAAATACATAATAATAATTCATATTATTTCAGTATAACTCATATATAACACTTTACACATCTCAAAGTGCTGAAGAGAGAAGAGTGATACATTGCATATTAGTGATGTGTTGATCTGTGTTTCTTCACAAGGGGATTCAGGAGGTCCTTTGGTTTGTGGAGACACTGCAGTCGGTGTCACTTCTTTTGTGTGCAAATAACTTTGCAATTCGCCTCAGTACCCTAATGCAGTGGTTCTCAATTCTAGTCCTCGCGAACCACATTTTGTATGTATCTCTTATCACTTCAGACATTTGTTCTATTCGACCGTAAGTGCCCTGCGAAGTGGATATCACAGGGTATTCCGCCATGATTCCAGTTCGAATGGAGAGTATATGTTCCATTCAAAGGGCATTAAAGTGTGTGAGAATTGAAATTGTATTTTTTTTTACAGAGGTATATAATGTCATTATTTTATGTCTTATGACACTTCACACTTCTCTAGTAGGTGTTGTCTGTGTGTGAAGACGCTGCAGGCTGTGGCATAGCGCAAATCCATGAGTGAATGTTCCGAAGTGAAGTAAACTTTAGCCGATAAATACATAATAATAATTCATATTATTTCAGTATAACTCATATATAACACTTTACACATCTCAAAGTGCTGAAGAGAGAAGAGTGATACATTGCATATTAGTGATGTGTTGATCTGTGTTTCTTCACAAGGGGATTCAGGAGGTCCTTTGGTTTGTGGAGACACTGCAGTCGGTGTCACTTCTTTTGTGTGCAAATAACTTTGCAATTCGCCTCAGTACCCTAATGCAGTGGTTCTCAATTCTAGTCCTCGCGAACCACATTTTGTATGTATCTCTTATCACTTCAGACATTTGTTCTATTCGACCGTAAGTGCCCTGCGAAGTGGATATCACAGGGTATTCCGCCATGATTCCAGTTCGAAGGGAACGTACATGTTACATTCAAAGGCCATTAAAGTGCGCGCGATGTGAATTTAAATTGTATTTATTTACAGAGGTATATTATGTCACACTTCACAATTCTCTAGCAAGTTTCATCTATGTGTGAAGATGCTGCAGGCCGTGGCGTACCACAACCCCGTGAATTAATGTTCTGAAGTGAAGTAAACTTCAACGGATTTCCCGTGCTCAGGGAGTAGGGAGCAATGAACACTGTGTAGGGAGTCTAGGGACCATGTCAATCGGAACAGTTCTTTCTTCTAACGAGCTGGTTATCTAAATCAGGGCCCGTATTCACAAAATATCTTAAAGGCACAATATGTAAGATTTTTTTATTAAACTATCCAAAAACCATTAATACATTAGCTCATCCATGAACATGATTTCTGCCCGAGTCCCGTCGGATTGCATCGGCTGTGGGGATGAAGATGATAACTCCCATGATTCCACACTCAGTCACGGCGTCATCAAACTTCGCCTTTGTCTATTTGTTTATTTTGAATAAGCGCCCTCTAGCGGTGAAAATTACATATTGTGCCTTTGCAGCTGTCTGTTGTTGTGGCCTTCTGATACATTGTCTTGGCTCTTTCTTTTCTGTTTACGACATTGGTTGAACATTAGCTCATCCATGAACATGATTTCTGCCCGAGTCCCGTCGGATTGCATCGGCTGTGGGGATGAAGATGATAACTCCCATGATTCCACACTCAGTCACGGCGTCATCAAACTTTGCCTTTGTTTCTTTGTTTGTTTTGAATACGCGCCCTCTAGCGGCGAAAACTTACATATTGTGCCTTTAAGGCTAAAAGTAGCTCATAACGTAGCTCAGGAGAAAATCTTAAAAATAATGGGCATGTCAGTCCTAAATTTAGGACTCCTAAATTTTTGATCTAAAAGTATTTCACAAAGCATTTTAGCGCTAAAACTAGCTCCTAAATCTGTGAAACATTAGGAGTAGTGAAGAGGACTCCTAAGTAACAAAGACCAAACCACAAACTACTCCTAAAATGGCTGTTGCTGGCAATCTGCCTCAGAACGTAAAAATTTTAGAAATATTTGACGATAATGAGCTTTTATAAAGGTATCACCTTTGGTTTTGAAGGTTATCCCAACTCCAAATGTTCCTTTGGTTATGTCTTTGTTTTCATTAACCAGTTGGGTAAGAAGTAACAGCTGTGCTTGTGTCCAGTTTGGTTTTCTTTTACGTTTGCATGTCTTACTATCAGCCATGATTATTCTACTCTGTTTATTAAAAGGCTGTTTATATGCATATTCACTAATTATGAGAAGCATACATGTAAGAGGCTGACAATTAGAACACATACTTGTTTAATTAGTGACACTTAGCCTGCATTTTAAAATCTTTATTTGAATGTGGCAAGATTTTTATTTTTTATTTTTAAACCTTTATCTTTACCTAAATATTTCCATGAATAAATCTCTGACAGAAACTATCAGCCAATCACTGTGTGCATAGTTAGTAAATATGCTGACATCATCCATAGCAACGAGGTCAACCATGCTTAGTAAAAGTTTGTCTCAGCAGCTTTGTGAATAGGTTTTAAGAGAAAACTCTTTGCTAAAAACTTTTACTGCTTATTTAGGAAAACTCTTAGTGGTAAGATAAAATGTTTTGTGAATACAGGCCCAGGTGTGTTAAATAAGAGAGACATGCAAAATATGCAGAGCGGTGGTACGCGAGGACTGGAATTGAGAACCACTGTCCTAATGTGCATACTAAGATTTCAGCATTTCTTCCATGGATCAAAAAAAACAAAAAAAAAACTTTTGATAATTGACTTGATAATGAAAAAATATGTGTAGAGCTTAATCAAAACTGTTTTCAAATGTTTAACCTTTTGCCCCAAATATTCTCAAGTCAAATGGCCTTCAGTGTTATAACCTCATGGAGCTGTGTATTGATTGAAAGCAAAGTAGTTAATAAGAAAATACACAATTATAGTACTTCATGTCAAAAGGCTGATGAGCCCTGCTCTACTTCTACAAAGACCACAAACATAACACCTATCATGCTAAAATGCCTCAGTCATATTAAGTGTTAAATGCGACACCATGCAGCTTCCTTTTACAGCTTCTGACACTTGTGGTTGGAGCTCATCAGCTAAATGGCATATCTATCTATAATGAATCTGTGAACTTTTACCACATGCATCCTTAGGGACTTTAATCTGAAACTTATCTGAAACTTTAAGCAGAAACCTATCTAGAAAAAAAATGCAAAGTGCAATGTAATATGCAAAATAAAATTAGACTCACTTGTCAGGGTCATGTAACCTATGTTTATAATTGCACGCGCAGACACTTTCACATACTTTGAATAAAGATTGATATAAAGATAATAAGTCTCTCAATCACTCATTATTTTGTAAAACAGAGGTCTTCAACCCTGCTCCTGGGGACCCAATGTCCTGCAAATTTCCAACCTGCTTCAGCTCACCTGCATGTGTATTTTCAAGAGATCCTGAAGAGCTTGACTAGCTAGTTCAGGTGTGTTTGATTAGGGTTGGAGCTAAATTCTGTAGGATGGTGGGTCCTCAGGAGCATTATTGAAGACCTCTGTTGTAAAAGACAGTTTTGTGAAGCATGTTCAGTGCGCCCTCTAGCGGTGTTGACTGTATATATATATATATATATATATATATATATATATAAACATGTACAGTTGAGTTTCAGTTAGCTCAAACTGTCCATTTGAATGAGGGAGATGTAGTGATGCTGAAAACAGCCCAAAGACTAATTTAGCATCACTTAAGTTAATGTTAATGATTAAGTAAATGTTATGATTAGCTTACAGTCTTTCTTTTCATCTCACGCGGTAAGAGAAAAACACGGCTAGATGTAAATACTGCTTCTTTGTGCTCAAGGCTCTGTGCACTGCCTGCAAGTTAATAGCTTCAAATTAATCAAATGGCACAAATCTTTGTGGTTTGATGATTGATGCCTTCGACTGAAGCCTCGTCAAGCCACAAGTATTATCAAATATTACTATCTGAGCTACTTTTACCACAAACTGAAAGTAACAAGTTACGGGAAGATCAGTTTCTCCACCCTCCTTTATATTATATTTAAATCGAATATATAGCCAGCGAGAGCTCATTGATTCACTGAGTGTCTTCATGATGACCATCATCTCTCTGCTCCTGCTGGCCTCTCTGCTGCCACACCTGACCTTCACTGGTGAGACTGATCAAACAAAATCCTAATAACCCAAGTTTTATAGCACATATAAGACAGTGAGGAGGAACTACAATAACTAACACTATCTTTCTTTCATTCTCAGCTCGCGCGAATGTGGGTATAGTGAACGGCAGGGAAGCAAAACCCCACTCCAGACCTTACATGGTGTCTGTTCAATTTAAGGAGCAGCATTTCTGTGGTGGATTTCTCGTCTCTGAGAGATTTGTCATGACTGCTGCACATTGCCGAAACAAGTAAGACAAGTAGTAACGTAGCTAATTATATAATTTAGATCATATAAGGTAACACTTTATTTCGATAGTCTACTTTAGACATTCTACTAACTATAAGTAACTCTGCAAGTACCAGTCATTAGAGTATTAGTAGACTGTCTGCTTAATATCTGCTAACACTTTAGTTTGATAACAGACATTCTGACAATAAGTAACTTTGCAAGTAAATTAACTTGTTCTGCTACCCCTAACACTAACCTACACTGTAAAAAATGACCATGAATTTAATGGTAAAAGACTGTAAAAATGCTACAGAAAAAACCTGTTAAATGGTTAACGGCAAATTCCCCTACTATATACGGTGAAAAACTGTATTGGACATTACATGTATTGGACATAAATTTTACGGTAGTATACCGTTTTTGGAAGTGAAAAAGACTGTATAATTTACAGTGAATAACCGTAAATTGACATTCCCAGAAATCCCTGCGTTACATTTCAAATTTGATGTTTTTTTGTTGAAATAACTATGTTTCTTCTTAGTTTTTTTTCTTATCAGTTTTGTATATTAGGGTTGTGTTACACGTAATGTTGTTAAATTAATGTTTATTGCATTATTTCAGTTTCATGTGTGTTACCATGATGGTGTTTAGTGTTTGTGTGAATGACACTGTGCACCTTCTATATATGTTATTATTTAAAAGCTGCTTGTGAT